TTCTGGGGGTCGATTGTGTATCTTTGTCGACTTTCCTCGCCTCTCGTATTTTCATCTCACATGAAAAATTGGCTATAAGCGTAGTGAAAATGCGATATCCCTAGGCTCACGAGAGTGAAAATCACAGATGTGAGATGTGAGTGCGAGCAATGGTCGAATGTTTGTATATCATATTGTATTATCATATATAACCAAGTACAATCGGCTGTGTTCCAATATATTTTTATCATTATAATTCATTATAATTTGAAAATAATGAACGTTACTGAGAAACAAAAAGACTTAATGATCCGTTTCATGCAACAACACCCCGATTTTGGACGGATAATGTAAATACAAATAAGATATAAAATATAAATATGTCATATAAATTTATATCCATTGTGCGTTACGTTTGATATCTATATATACCAATTTTTTTTATTTCTCTAAAATATTTAATATTTATTTTGTTCGTAATATTTTTTATATTGTCTAATTCTAAATCAAAAATAAAATATAATTTATTTGTATCTATATACCTGTACAATTTGAGAAATGTATTATCCGAGATATCAAATGGATCCTGTGTATAGCCGAGAGCACAAGCTTTTACATAAAGCATAACGCATAAGCATAAGGAAATTGATTGGTCTATATATAAGCATAAGCAAATGCATAAGGAAATGGACCAATCAATTTCCTTATGCTTATGCGTTATGCTTTATGCAAAAGTCTGTGCTCCGGCCATATCCCTCAATCTTCTCCTTATTATATTTAAATTTCTTTGCTGCCTTTTATTCCTATCTCTCTCATTTTCTTCTATCATCAGCAACATAACCAAATCCATTTTTTATACGCTGGCTCCGTGAGACTGCACAATACGATGCAAATTCGACACAATTTGACTGTGAATTCGACATCTAAATACTTGTCGAATAATCTCACGTGAAATAATTCGCATTTTCACTATAGTGAAATTTACACAATCAAGTGAATGTTCACTTTTGTTATTTTCACTAGGTTTTGAAATACACAATCGACCCCCTAGTTACTAGTTCCTTTACCGCGTACCGCGTACCGCGAACCGCGCTCCATGTAATCGCACCCTAAGTTGCAAATACTCCGTCGCCAGTCGCGAATGCTCCGTCTTACTAAAAATAACTAGAAATAGCGCTTTCCAATTAGTAGTTGCCATCCTTCGCGACCGGTGACGGGGCATTTGCAACTTATTGTAGAACCAACTTAAGACCGAAGCATAAACCGGCCATGATACGCAACAAAATGTGAATTAAACTCAGTCCTCAATGTATATTTTCATGCAAATAAAGCTTTATATAATTATGCAAATTTGCCTTAATATACCCTTGAAAAGACTTTTGACTTTATGTTGTTTTGCATGCAAAAAGTGCAACGTAGTGAATAACCAATGAGAAATGATAGAAGCTACTGAAAGTCAAAATTCAAACATCTTAACTGTTAATGGTTTTGGTAATCCTCATATTTTATATACCTCTGTATTTTATCATGTACCGCACTTAATCGTCAAATAAATGTAGAACGAGCTGTAACTTGGTATTTACTCGGAGACAGTGGGCAATATTCTGAAATATCTTGAAGAGCAAGAAAAGGTACTTTATATTTTTGCAATCAATGAGTTTTTCATTCCTATTAATTTTATAAATTGACCTGTTTCAGTAGATCGATAAGTTGCGCCAATAACTTTATCCTAATTACCGCTGCAATTAACTTAACAACTTGTTCGTCTTACGTCTCTTATAGACCTGATTATAACCAAAGAATGAATGAGTTATCAAGTCGTTTATTCTATTATTTGATACATTATTCTGAAATTTTTCATAAATTGGTACGACTTGATACCATAATGCTACTTAATCATTCACATACAAAACACTATACTTTAATAGTATCAAAATGTAATTTGTAAGGTTAAGACACCAAGGATGACTCAATCTTATTAAATAAGATGAACCATTTGTATTGCATAAACTTGTGACACGTTTAAGATATGCAAAAATTTTAATAGCAACTTTTGTGTAATAATTAATCGATAAATAATCTTATGATTTAATCTTGATCACATTAATAAATGCTACTTTGATAAAGTAAAAGATAGAATTATAATAATAAATATAATTTTAATTTGACAGAGAAGTGGTCTATATTTTCTAAAGAATTGGATGCATAAACATAATGGCCACAACTGAAGTAATTGTCACAGATATTCTATGGGTAAGTTTTATTTTTAGGCACACAACATTGTACTAAAATTTTGATTTTCCTAATATTAATTATAATTTGCTTGTGTTTTTATCTGACAATCCAAAACTTGAAGTTAACAGAAGTTAGTACAAGTCTAATACTTCTTGATATTTTATCATAAATAATAGCAATGTAATATGTATTGTAATTAATAATATATTTTTTTTTCAGGAAGAAATGAAGAATATTGCTGTCGAAGTGCAACAACGCTTCTACGAATCTCTTCCTGATTGTACAGAATATAAATTCGATGAACATAAATATCTGAAACAGAATATTGGATATGCACTTTATGGATCACCAAAAATCAATGAGAATGAGAACGAAAGTGAGAATGAAAATGAGAGTGAGAATGAGAATGAGAACGAGAATGGGAATAAGAATGAGAATGCAAATGCAAGCATGACAGAAAGCAATAATTGCTATTACTTGGCAGAAAAATTGAGTAATGCGGATGCTGATATAACTGATACAGTGGATTACAATAAGGCAGCGAAGGATGTTATAGATGTAATATACAAACAAATATGTAAATGTTCAATAGAAACTGATAACTCTCAACCGATTTATTTTAGTATAATTTATAATATAATATTCCGTCCTAAAATGAAAGTAAGATCTCAAGAAAAAAAAGGAACAGGAATACAAGAAGAAATAAAAAAAGAAAGTAAAGATGAGAAGGAATTATTTATGGTATCTTCTATTCCAATTTTCAAGATTAGAAAGCAAAGATTTACTATACAGAAGAACAGTTTAATTAAACCTGAAGCGGATTATGAGACATGGTTTATCGATACCAGTGGCAGAGTGTATAAAAGCTGGACAGATTATACAGAGAAGAATACTCTGCCGAAGTGCACTATGGTCCTTCCGAAAGATGGTTTTTATGACGCGGATCCATCATATCCAGTTACCGAAGATTATTCGACAGTTTGGCTCGAAATCATGGATTCTCCTGCGTGCTCGTGGAAAGCTAAACTTTTTAGTGGAATGGATATCATTTCCAGTGCTGTTGGACTTGGTACAGCGAGTTTATGCGTTGCATCAATGTTCACCCCAATTGCACCAGTTGTCGCTGTGACAGGTAAATTTTATATATGATTTTTTAATACATGATTTATCACATATGTTAAATATTCATTACATATAAGTTATAATTGAGCCACTTTGTATCATATTTATATCATTTGAGTTTTAATATTTTACTTTAAATATATTTTGTCACATATCAGGTCTCGCTGCCACTGGTGCGACTGGTGTTTGGACAATTGGCCGATGCTCTCAACAACTGGCAGATCGCAACGAACACGAGGAGTCTATTCATCCTCGAAATAAAGAAGCATTTGCGTGTTGGCTCGGCATAGCCGGTTCAGCGGTTGGCTTAAGCGCAATTGGAGGATCAATAGCTATTTCCAGGGCTGCTGCAAACGGTATGACGGTGCCTACTTACGCGAAAGTGGCTTTTAATACAGTGCAAAGTAGTAACATCGTCTTGAACGGTATCGGCGTCGTATATCAGGGTTATTGTATAATAGACAAGGGTAGAGCGGGACAGGGAGTCGATCCCTGGGACGTATTGAATTTGATGACCCACGTCATGTTTTTCACCGGCTCTGTATTAAAGGTTCAATTCGCCGGCGATATTATCGAAAGTACGCAAGGCAAGGTTATTAACGATTACAAAGAATCTCTACGCAGCAAGAATCTTCGTAAAAAGTTCAATCGTACGCTGAAAAAGGCTGCGAAAAATAATACATGCAAAATATCCGAAAATACGGAAGTGATACGTTACATAAGGAATCGCCAACAGTTGTTGTCCGTTGACCAGTCTGTCGCTGGTGGCCAAGTGTTGGAGAAAACTACGCGTAATATTGTATGGTCAGTTGAACAGGGTAAATTAAGAGTCAACGGTATTATATTGTTAGATCCTATCGACTACGCTCGTCGCCTTATACAGTTGGGCATATTCGTTGAGACTAATCAAAGCAATTCGTCTAGTCCGCAGAATTGTATTCAAAGTTCCACGGTTGACCAAATGATAAAAATGCTTTGTGATTTATTATCTAAACTTTATTTGAGTAACAATTGTCCCAGAAAAATGCCAACAGTGCCTGACTTTGAACCACTAATCAGAGAGATGAACTTGATGAATGTGAATGAAGATTGTTTGAAAATGTTATTTAAAATTGCTGAAAGGCTAATAAGACGTTCGAAAGACATGGAAGATTTTCTACTTACAGCCTTCACTTTTGTTTGGCAGTATTGTAAAGCGAACTTGAAGCAATGGGGCATAAACTCGTCTTATCGCATGCAAAGCGATTCTGGTTCTCACATCTTGCAAAAGATTATTATTGCGATTACGGAAGCAATCGACATGGTGCTGAATAACTTGTTTGATGCTTTTTCAATATATTTAAATGCTAAATTACGTCAATGAATACTAAAGAAAATTTAGAAATGGCACTAAAAAGAAATCTAGAACGCACAACAACTTACACAGCCGAGATTTTTGTAGAAATATTGTATACCTGCTTTGATAGATTTCTTATGAAATTTAATGAAATTTAAGCTTTGAAGTAGAGAATGTAGAGAGATGTTAAGAAATTCTCAGACATACAGGCGTGTTTGAATACATATCGCTTTTTAAACTAATATATTTTTATAAATCTAAGTTAATTATTTTAAAGTGATATTGAATATCTAATTATGCTAATTAAAATAAAATTTATATTATATTTTTTATACATCTGTTTCTGCAACTTTTTTGCATTAGTATCTTTAACTTTGTTTATTATAAATGAATTCATATTTCGTATATCTATTTATAAATCAAATTTTTGCGAAAAGAAGGCTCTTCGGTTAGGTAGTTTCAGACCTTTGAAAATCTCATGTATTGTATCATGTATGTTGTGCCTTACATTGTAATCTTATATACATTGTATACGTAGATTATATATATTATAAAAAATTATATAATTATATTAAAAAAGTTGTTATATAAAAAAAAAAAAAATAAAATAATCGTTACTAGCGTTTTTCATGTTTTTCTTTAACAAAAATATTGTTTGATTTTCTTAAAGTAAAACATCTTTTTTGAAAAAAATAATTAAAATAACATTTTTGTAGATAAATTGTTTTAAGGCTAGAAAATATTAAGTATAAGTTGAATGTAAAATTAAGAAAAATCGAACGAAAGAATTTTGTTAAGTATTACATATGTTTTTATTTTTCAAGAATTAAAAGAATTTAATTTTATTAGGAAAATTAGAAGAAATAAAAAATAAACACTGCAATCTTAAAATATTTTTTTATTTCTAATATTTAGACAATAGTTATATTTTCTTTTTCTATACTGTTGCTTTACTTATTGCTTTTGACATATTAAATGCCAATCCCACTCTTTTTATCTTGTGGATAAATTTTCCTACTGATTTCTACATTTGTATTGTAGTTCAAAATAATAATTTATTAGTTCTATATGCTTTAGATAATGAAGAAAAAAAACTTGGAAAATACCAATCAATTTTCAGCCAACACTGAAAAGTTTGAAAGCGGGAATTCTAAATTTGCACGCGGGATTTCCTTATCAGAGAAGCGGGGATTCACCGTTAGTTTTTCGTCTGTTTTACCGCGACACAGTTAGTGTTTAACGAGAGCTACAACACGATTAACTAATTGTCGACGTTCATCGCTTGAATATACATCGCAATAACTGTGCTCGGGATACATCAAATTAAAGAAAGGTACCACATATACATTATTTTGTAATCGACAAATTCTACGTTTTTATTTATGGTTTTGTTAAATTTATGATTGCGTTAAATTGCATTAATAATTTTATACATTTATGAGTAACAATCAAATAAAAAAATGTTAGTGCAACCGAGCTTTAACTCGTTGCGTTGGAATCTAATTTTTGCAATTAGAAAAATTGGAAGAAATAAAAATAAACAGCAATCTTCAAATATTATTTATTTTTTATATGTAGATAATTATGTTCTCTTTCTCTCTCTCTCTCTCTCTCTCTCTCTCTCTCTCTCTCTCTATATATATATATATACACAGGGTGTCCCACCAAGAACTAACTTCTGATTCGTGCGTTAGAAATTGACGTATGTCAATTGAAGTTGTAACGCTGTTAATTATTAATTAATTATTGAAGTTTGCCATATCGCAGGACCGTAAGTGAAAAGATAGACGTCGCCCGCGATATTTCAAGCCGATAAAACTCGTATAATATGTAAAATATTTATATTAAATCATACAGCGCTACAATTCTTTTTACATCAAAATATCCACATTATTATAAAAAAGTTATGCATACCTCTCCGTTCGTTAACACGAATAGCTTTTGTAAGCAACTATTGTGTTTACAATAGAGTTCAGTTTGAACCATTTAATTTGATATATATTTGTTATGGTCTATCTCTTTTAATTTAAAAGATAAAAAGGAGTGTCCACTTTTGGTAGGACATCCTGTATACTGTTGCTTTACTTATTTCTTTTGACTTGTGTATTAAATGCTAAGTTCTACTTCTTTTATTTTATAGATAAATTTTACTACTGATTTCTACATTTGTATTGTATTACAAAACAATAATTAATTCCATATATTTTAGATAATGAAGAAAAACCTTGGAGACTATCAGTCAATTTGGAGTCGACACTGACAAGTTTGAAAGCGGGAATTTTATATTCACGCGCGGAATTTCCAGAGAGTTCTCTCAGAGATCCGGGGATTCACTGTTTCTGTCTTTTATCTTTATTTGATAACTGCGAAAGAGACACACCTAGTATATAACGAGCGATACAGCACAACTGATTGTTAGTCGACGTTCAGCACTTTAATATAATACATCACAAAAACTGTGCTTGAGATACATCAGATTAAAGGTACTACATATAAATTATTTTGTAATTAACAAGTTCTACGTTTTCATTTATCGTTTTGTTAACTTAATTCTTGCGCTCAGTTGCATTGATAACTTCACACATTTGTGAGTTTTAATCAAATTAAAAAAAAATGTTTGTGCAACCGAGCTTTAATTCGTTGCGTTGGAATCTCTCTGACCTTATTGCTAAAATTTATAGCTAAAATCGTCAAGCATGCCTCAAATACGTGAACAGACGTTACGTGATAACTCGGATAATCAACAGGATATATATAGCATGCGTAATAAGTTTGCTTTGTGATTACGTCACGCCATTGCTAATTTCTTAAACTTCTTTGTAAAATAGATGCAAATATAACTATTTATAATGATAGTAATGTATATTCATCGTGTTGGGGGAACAGTATAGTTATTGATAAATCTCATAGCGATGACAATAATAATATTGATAATAACAATAATAATTTAAACGTTTTATATCAGAAAAAAGTATTGCCAGAAAAATATCAAAAAGAAATATTGTTACTTATTATTAAAGAAGATTTATTATCTAAATAGAATGATAAAATTGTTTCATTATCAATCATTAAGAAAATAATTTCATCTCTATAATTAGACAGCATACATATATGATATCCAGGGCTGGACAAAATACATCATTAAGTATTTAAAATACAAAATATAAAATACTATCAATCTTTTATCAAATACAAAGTATAAAATACTATCAATCTTCTATCAAATACAAAATATAAAATACTATCAATCTTTTATCAAAATACTAAGATTGACAGTATTTTGTATTTTGTATTTCAAATACTTTTTGCCCAGCCCTGGTGATATCATGCAACAGGTGTCACGATATTTCAAAAGCAAAATGATAATCGAATAAGTTTATAATTTAATTTTATATTAATAAATGTTAATTTAAAAAAAATTGATATATGTATTGATTATAAATGTAATTTTTTTGTTAGCAGATTTGTATTTTCTACAAGATTTACACAAACATGGCTGCAAAGAAAGAAGAAACCAATATGGACCAACTTTTTGTAAGTTTTATTTTAATGTATGCGATATATTGAAAAACTTATCTTGAACTGATCTGTCCAACTTTGATTAAGTTTATTCACAATTTGCTTGCATTTATCTTTCCAACACAATCCGAAACTTGAAATTAAATACCGGAGGCATTATTTTTATAGAAATAATTGGTGTTATGTATATTATGTATTAATAGTATATATTTGTATTTTAGGAAGAAATGAAGAGCATTGCTGTTGAACAGCAACAATGCTTCTATGAACTTCTGCCTGAGTGGACAAAATATAAAAAATCTGATATTTATCCAAGAAAGGACGAACATAAATACCTGAAACAAAATATTGGATATGCATTGTTTGGACCACCAACGAAAAATGAAGAGGAAATGAAAAAAGAAGAAAATAGTACAGTAGCTTGCTATGGCAAAACAAAAGATCCAAATAATACAGAAGCAGATATAACTGATGCAGTGGGTTATAATAAAAAAGCCAAAAAAGCTATAAAAAAGATATATGATAAGATATGTGAGTGTTTCAATGTGGAAGATGATCCATTTCAACCAATTTTATTTGGTGTCATTTATAATGTAATAGTTTATTCTAATAGCAATGTAAGTAAAGGAAAAAATAAAGAAAAGGAAAAAAAAGAAGTAAAAGAGGCAACAAAAAAAGAAACTAAAGCAGAAGTAAAAAAAGAAGTAGAAGAAGAAGAGGTATCGGTAGTACCTGTTCCTATTTTTAAGATTTTTAAAAGTAAGAAAAGCATCCAAGAGACAGTTGATAAGGCGAAGAAGCCTATATTAACCAAGATTGAAGATTATGAAACACTATATATTGACTCCAATGCCAGAGTCTATGAAGGTTGGTCGGACTATGTAGAAAATAATACTCTACAAGAATGTACTATGGTGCTTCCAAAAGATGGTTTTTACCAACCAAACCCAGACTATCCTATTGAGGAGGATTATTCGACAGTTTGGATCGAAATCATGGATTCTCCTGCATGTACAACGAGCAAGAAAGTTTTGACGAATGTGGATCGTGTCTCCACTGTAGTTGGAATTGGCGCACTTGGCTTGAGTATCGCAGGGCTTTTCACACCTCTTGCGCCTGTTGCAAGTAAGTTGTTTCTCAATATATAATTTATGAGTTTATGAAATGTCGTCTTGCATTTTAAACACATTTTATTATGTATTTTAGGTATTTCTCTCGCTGGTGCTGCTACTGCGAGTGGTGCTTGGTCAATTTTCCGGAACACCCAAGAATTAGTGGATCGCTATAACCACAAGGAATCTATTTATATTCTGGACAAAGAAGCATTCCCATGTTGGCTCGGTTTAACTGGTTCAGTGGCTGGTTTAGGAGCGGTTGGAGGAACGGTGGTTCTATCCAGAGTTGCTGCAAACGGCGCGACGATACCTTCCGCTGCGAAAGTAGTATTTAATACCGTGCAAGGCAGTAATATCTTCTTGAATGGTGTCGGTGTTGTATATATGAGTTACAGTATGTACGATAAGTACAAGGAAGAGCAGACTTTCAGTTACTTAGATGCGTTAAATTTGGCGACGCACATCATGTTCTTCGCCAGCTCCGTGGTGAACGTTAAATTTGCCAATGACATTATCAGGGATAGCCAGGGTAGAGTTATCGATGACTACAAGAAAACTCGACGCAGTAGGAATCTTCGTAAGAAATTCAATCGTGCCGCGCGAAGGGCTGCCGAGAACAATACGTCTAAGATAGCCGAAAATGCGGAAGTGATACACTTTATACAAAATCGTCAAGACTTCTTGTCTTTCGACCAGGCTCGTGGTAGTCAGATGTTCGATAAGACTTCATCGCATAATACCGTATGGTCATTCGACGGAGGTAAAATAATGATTGGTAATATCGAATTGTTAAATCCTATAGATTTTGCTTTGCTTCTTATTTCAAGTATACGTTCAGAATCCGATCAGAGTGATCCGTCCGATGACTCTCAAGATGATTCTAATAACTTTAAGCTACTGAAACAATCGCTTCACGATTTATTAAAAGACTTCTGTCCCGACGACACGCCGGAATTATCTGACTTTGACCGAATACTTGAGGACCTAAGTTCTATGAACATAAGTGAAGATTGCCTCACAATGTTGTTTAATATAGCTACAACGCTAATGAAACATGACAAAGATCATTTCTTGATATGCTTCACTTTTGTTTGGAAATACTGTAAAGCAAACTTGAAACAGTGGGGGATAAAGACACGTCGTCGCATGCAAAGCGAATCTGGCTCTTACATTATGCAAAAGATTATTAATGTTGTTTCTGAAGCAACAGGTATGATATTCGATCAATTAGCTACTGCTGCTTTTATGTATGCGGAAGCTAATTTAAAAAAGACAATATAGAAATAAGGCGCATAATAATTCATATATTCGTATTTCTAGCATTAAGATGAGATTTTTGCAAAAAATTTATATTTTGATACGCATCACTGATTAATAATATCTTACTTTATATTTTTTCAGTTATTGTTATAAATAATAATAAATAAATGATGTACAACATATGAGTATCTTTTATTCTAACGTATCTGACTTTATAGTATGTTTCCCAGCAAAGGACACAAGTTGACACAAATCGACACAAGTATCACTCTGTCTTTGTGCGATATTCAATGAGCAACAGAGAGAATAATACTTTTGTGTCGCTTGTGTCTCTTGGTGGAAAACTACCAAAATTCGTATTTTATAAAAAACAAATATAAAAAAAATAAAAATTATATTCTTTTTTATAAAAAATAAATAAGCAAAAGTATAAAGAATTGGGAAAAGGAAAATACAAGAAATGATATTGAATCCTAAAAAGAGCAAACCTTTATGAAAGAAGTATAGAATACTATAGTAGTTTTCCAATATATGTATATATACACACACACAGGGTGTCCCATCAAGAGCTAACTTCTGATTCGTGCGTTAGAAATTGACATATGTCAATTGAAGTTGTAACGCTGTTAATTATTAATTAATTATTGAAGTTTGCCATATCGCAGGGCCGAAAGTGAAAAGATAGACGTCGCCCGCGATATTTCAAGCCGATAAAACTCGTATAATATATAAAATATTTATATTAAATCATACATCGTTGTATTCTTTTCAAACAGCGCTACAATTTTTTTACATCAAAATATCTACATTATTATAAAAAAATTATGCATACCTCTCCGTTCGTTAACACGAATAGCTTTTGTAAGCAACTATTGTGCTAACAATAGAGTTCAGTTTGAACCATTTAATTTGATACATATTTGTTATGGTTTATTTCTTTTAATTTAAAAGATAAAAGGTGGTGGCCACTTTTGGTGGGACATCCTGTATACTATTGCTTTACTTATTTCTTTTGCTTTACTGATTTCTTTTGTGTATTAAATGTCAAGTTCTACTTCTTCTTTTATTTTGCAGATAAATTTTACTACTGATTTCTACATTTGTATTGTATTACAAAACAATAATTAATTCCATATATTTTAGATTCTTAAATATATGGAAAAAATTATTGTTTTGTAATACAATACAAATGTAGAAATCAGTAGTAAAATTTATATTCCGAGCACTGTTTTAGATAATGAAGAAAAACCTTGGAGACTATCAGTCAATTTGGAGTCGACACTGACAAGTTCGAAAGCGGGAATTCTATATTCGCGCGGAATTTCCAGAGAGTTCACTCAGAGATCCGGGAATTCACTGTTTCTGTCTTTTATTTTTATTTGATAACTGCGAAAGAGACACACGTAGTATATAACGAGTGATACAGCATAACTGACTGTTAGTCGACGTTCATCACTTTAATATAATACATCACAAAATCTGTGCTTGAGATACATCAGATTAAAGGTACTATATATAAATTATTTTGTAATTAACAAGTTCTACGTTTTCATTTGTCGTTTTGTTAACTTAATTCTTGCGCTCAGTTGCATTGATAACTTCACACATTTGTGAGTTCTAATCAAATAAAAAAAAAGAATGTTTGTGCAACCGAGCTTTAATTCGTTGCGTTGGAATCTTTCTGACCTTATTGCTAAAATTTATAGCTAAAATCGTCAAGCATGCCTCAAATACGTGAACAGACGTTACGTAATAACTCGGATAATCAACAGGATATACAGGGTGTCCCAAAAATTTTGACACAGCGGCCGTATGCCAGTAGAGCAGACCAAACTGAACCGAAAAGTCCTCTACCATTTTACAATTTTCACAAGGGTTAAAAAGATATTAATTATTGAAGATTACCGAATGCGAACGCACGACTGAATTACGACCGCCTACAGACTACGGTCGCTTG